GGCCACAATTTTCTTTATATAGAAATATTTTGACATGTATAACAAAGAGAAACAACGTTATGAACGTGAAATGTCTTCTTACGTTGGCTCCTCATACGTCTCACCACAATCGCTCCCCAACGATGACAAAGTCAAATCTGAGACTGAAATTGAAGTCAAGCCTGAACCCGAAGCTTCGGATTTTGCGTCATCCAATAATTATCTTGATAACAACACAAACGAAGACGAAGAAGTTGATAACGATAATGAGCAGGAAGACAATGATCATAGGGACGATCCGGTGGATGATGACGAAGAAATGAGTGAGGAGGTTGATGAGTTGAGAGAGGATTTGGTGGATGGTGAGGAGGAAATGCGGGAGCGAGAATTAGAGAGTGGCGCTGAGGATGGGACTCTTAGTGATATTGATGAGCCGGAATATTAGGGAATTTTGGTTTAGTGTTTGAATAGCGAAAGAAAATTAATTAGAGGGAGAGAGGGAAAGAGAACGAGAGAGAGAGAAAAAGAGAGAGAAAGAGATAGAGAGAGAGAGATAAAACAGTGTAATCAAAGATTATAATAATGGGGAGGTTAATGGGGATGAGTTGCAGATGATTGCCTTTGAATCGTGGTGAGTGTAGACGGCGAAGATGAACGGGGGAGGGGGTGAAATGGAGGTGTAATTATAAAGGATGATTTTGGTAATCGATGTGACTGGTGTTGCTAATTGATTTTTCTTTTGTTTTGATGACGTTTGAATAATAGGAAACTTTGCAAAGTTACGAATCTAGGTGACTTCCTTTCCTTTAATGATTGCGCATGTTGAGTAAAGAGTGTCGTTCTCTCATTTTACAACAATCGCCTATAAGCAAGACACTTTATGCGAACATTCTCTTTCCTGTAAACTGCTATGATTTATTTATATAGTAGCTATGTATCATTATATATATAGTCACGTTGAGCATAGTGCATTTCCATTGGGTGAGATATCTGAGCATAAATATTCAACGGGCAGTATATTAGTATGATTAGTGGGGTGACTACGTTATAGTGACTGCATGCAGATTAGCTCAATTATATGATGGCTAGTCCATCAATCATCGTATATAAAATAATTATCATTCATACAAATGTCAAGACTGTTCATTGAACTAGTCTAAATAAATTAAGGGACATGTAAACATGCTGGCATGGTTGAAAAAGAATTTCTGCTACAAGAAAAACTGTCATATGATTGTCAAACATCCAAAGGAAAATTAAATTGTATAACCGTTGAGTAGATCATGGCACAAATCTCTAATAGCAAATACTGAAAAGATAAGTACACTTGCTTTTGATAATAAACGTGTTTACTCTGAGTATGTACGACTGCTTTGATAAGCTTCATTCTTTGAATTCTATATTTCGTTAGACAATAGAGTTTAGGGTTAGAGCACTATAATATATAATGATGCCTTAATTCTTAATACGCGAAATGACGTAATGTGTCCCTGCATAATGAATCCGATCTCGCTATGCGCGAAGCTTTTCATTCTTCCCGCTAAAAAAACCATATTCTGATGACCCTTTAAATGATTTCGGCTTTATCATATCGAGTCGATTTTGGAAGGGTCTTCCGTAATATGGGTACTCGAGATCTTTGTGAATGGAGATTTTAAATGAAGACTTTGTCAAATGAGAACCGCCTTCATATTGGACCAGACAGTACTTATATTGGAATACATAAATGTTAAGGTTTTTGGAAGGACTCAAGTATTATGTGTTGCACACCATACCAATGTCCCATGCAATACACGAGTTGAACTGTCTATTGAAATTATTGAGGATTGCACTGTATACGATCGCGTGTGATGAGGAGAGTGGAGTTCTCACTGGGAGGGAATTTACTAGTAGTATCAGAATATTTTTATCGTGGGTAAGACCAGAAAACATGTCATCTGCCTTGGAAAGTGAAATATTGATGCTATATTTATTACAAATGCACTCGTTTTGGCGGATTGTTTCAATGCCATTATACGCAATAAATAGACATGGGATTAAATTTGCAATTAATACAGCTATTTATTAGTTTTACCTAGAACGTATCCAGGTTGAAGCTGGAATTTACCATGGAATTACCCAGTTAATAAGGCATTTCAGCTTCAACACCGACGTCATCCTTCATTATATTGTTACATTCGCAAAACAAGTAATTGAGCAATTCCCATTTTCTTTCGACTCTTACTATTAGCCTAAAGCCTCCCTTCACTCCTCAACTTATCGAGAGCTGCTATCGATGCCAAATTCAGACACTGATCTAAATTTAAATCTGCGGCTGTTCCGTAAATCACCCCGTTCAACGATATCGTCGCATGGCTCAACCTCCATCCTACTTGCCCAATCCATACACGAAGTTCCACATTGTTTTGGTCTGCAAACGTTTTCAACTCTGAACCTGCATCGCTTGTATGAAACATGCTTTGCTGTAGTTTGCCATACAACTGTTCTCTACGATCAACAGCACTTTGCTTCGCACCTCCAAACAACCGAAATACGACAGAATTTGGTAACAAAGTGCAGAAATATTTCACGCAACACATTCTCATCTCCTTAAGACCACCTGCAGCCACACATAACAATTGATCCAATAGCTCGACCATTAACGCATCTACAAGAATTCTAGCTTTATTGACACCACCTTCTAAATACAGTCCTGCTGCATAAGCTTCCACCAAGTCTGCAAGATCTTTGCCTTTCAATGCGTTTTTCGTTCTGCAGAGTACTCCGAATCCTGCTACCTCACAAAAGCAGCTTAAGACACTGTTCCGAACTAGATAGCCCACTGCCGTCTTTGTGTTCTTGACGGTGATAGGAAGTTTTAGAGCAGTGCGGCGGGAAAGAGCTATGAGCTGACATACAAAAGATAAAACACGATCTCCCAGAAATTCAAGTCGTTCGTAATTTGTTCCTACGTGATGGCTGTATGAACGATGGGTTAAGGCCAATGTTCTCACAGTGGGATTGTCAATGTCAGGAATTTTTTGTCTTATTGCTTGTGAGGGTTATGGCGCGTTGGATAGTTTGGACAGATTGAATTGTTGATTACGACAAGGCGAATAATTACGGAGTAGTTTTATTAGTTTTGTAATCGGGTGATATGTGTAAAGAACAAAGATGTGGGTTTTAGCATACTAATGCAAACAAAGAATATAGAATGATAAAAGACATTTCACGTTCATAACGTTGTTTCTCTTTGTTATACATGTCAAAATATTTCTATATAAAGAAAATTGTGGCC